ATGCTCTCTGTATGTGTGTATATATATCTCCTCAATATATGTTCCACTCTATATGCATCCGAAGAAGTGGGCTGTAGTCCACGAAAGCTTATGCTCTAATAAATTTGTTAGGCTCTAAGGTGCCACAAGTACTCCTGTTCTTTTTGCGGATACAGACTAACACGTATCAGAGGGGTAGCCGTGTTAGTCTGAATCTGTAAAAAGCAACAGAGGGTCCTGTGGCACCTTTGAGACTAACAGAAGTACTGGGAGCATAAGCTTTCGTGGGTAAGAACCTCACTTCTTCAGATGCAAGACTAACACGGCTGCTACTCTGAAAACTAACCGTGTGCGACGGCCGCTCTCCGGGGTCAGGAGGGAACTGACCGGAACGGCCCGGGACAGGGCGTCTTGCACTCACTTTGGCAGCAGCGGGCACCGGCTGCCGGGCTCGGTTCTGGTCATCGGCCTCGCGCGGGGGTGTGGAGCGATCAGCTGCGGTGCCAGGAGGTGAAGGTGCAACTTCTGCTTGGCGGCCTTGGAACTCCCCGGCCAGGAAGCCACGTCTGGCCCGCGGGCTGCTGCGGGGAGGGGCGGGGGGGCTGCCTCTGGCTGGGAGGAGGAGATGGGCCGTCAGTCTGCAGCTCTTTGGCCCAGCTGGGCCCCGGGGGGGCAAAGCGTCCCCAGTTTCACCTGCCCGGACGTCTCTCTCCAGGCTGCTGGACAGTCCAGGAGCCGCCCAGGGATCCCAGACCCAGATTTGGCCCCCCGCCCACTATCCGGTCTGAGCAAGGTAACAAAGCTAATGACTGGGGTGTCAAATCCCCCCCATGATGACTGGGCCTGAGCCCCCCCGCGCTGCAGATCCTGTCTTGCAGACTAAGCAGGGGCACATAAGACCCCCCCCACCCTGGGAGAAATCTGGCTTCAGGGCCTGGTGCTAATATGGCACTGGGGTTCCCGTCCCACCCCGCGTGCTGGGGGCGCGGGGCTGCTGGAGGACACGTCTTTCGGGAGGTCTGAGTGGCTCGGGGTTATTAAAATACCCCTGGCCCTTGGCTGGCCCGTTCCCAGCTCCCGCCAGACACTCGGTTCCCCTTCCCTTCCCTAGAGTTGCCACGCTCCGCCCCAGAGGTAGCTGCATTTCTGCAGCAGGTCCATTCGGTGCATCAGAGCCCCACGATGATATTGCAGACTGAGCCATGATGGGATGGGGCTTCGGGGGGGGGGGAGGAGGGGGGAGAAGGTCCCATCCTGGGGAAGGCCCCCCCCAGTCCCTGGAGAAGGGTGGGGAGCATGTGTCCTTGACAGGCAGTTTTGCAAGCCCAGGTACTTTATTGCGAGGTGTTAATGATTCACCTGGGTGATAACTCAGACATGAAGTCAGCACCTGGTCCCCCAACCCGCCTACCAGGCCAAGCCTGTGCCAAACCAGGCAGCCGCTGTGGGGCTGGGCCCTGGGGGGCAAGAACTGAGCTGGGGCCACACCGGCCGGAGGCTCCGGGCCCCAGAGGCAGAGAAGCCCGGGGCGGGGGGGGGCGCAGGCTGCTGCTGAGACGTCTCCCTCCCCCCACTTTATTGCCCCTCCAGTGGGAGGACTCAAGGGGCAGGCGCTGAGCTGGGCCAAGTGGGGGGCGGGGGGGGGGGGGGGGGGGCGCAGGCTGCTGCTGAGACGTCTCCCTCCCCCCACTTTATTGCCCCTCCAGTGGGAGGACTCAAGGGGCAGGCGCTGAGCTGGGCCAAGTGGGGGGCCGGGGGGGGGGGGGGGGGGGCGCAGGCTGCTGCTGAGACGTCTCCCTCCCCCCACTTTATTGCCCCTCCAGTGGGAGGACTCAAGGGGCAGGCGCTGAGCTGGGCCAAGTGGGGGGCCGGGGGGGGGGGGGGGGGTGCG